GACCAGAACCCAAGCAAGATGCACCTGTTTTCTTGGGACCTTAGGGTTGCTGGCCTCTTGTTTTCCCAGCCTGTCTTCTGCAGGAGGGGCCTGCCACGCTGTTACTCAGGCAACCCTGTTGGGGCAGAGTTGCCCTGCGCCCTTGTGGCTGGGATGGGCTCAGTGGGAATCAGTTTTTGGGGCTTTTGTTCTCTGGCGGCTTTCCCTGGTGGCTTTCCACGTCTCTTCCGCGAGTCAGAGCAGAAGAGACCGTTTCCAACCCTCTGCCTCAGAGCAGAGAGATCGCAGTCTGTTCTTCACTGAGCTCTGCAGGCCACACTGTCTCCATTTCTGTCCATGCTGCTATAAACTGCAGCTTCCTGGGTTGTGCGCCCCTCCACAGCGCTCCCAGTCCTGCCTCCAGGTCAGAGCACGTCTCTGCCCTTTGTGCTTCTAAAACTGCCACCCGCTCCCAGTTGGTGCACCTGCGACCCAGCCGCTCTGGTTTCCATCCTGGGGGCTGCAGTTTGCAGGCACCACCCTGCCGCTCCGGGTTTCCGTCCGGGGCGCTGCAGTTCGCAGGCATGACCCCGCCACTCTGGGTTTCCACCCTGGGGGCTGCCCTAAAGTCCTTTCCCTGCCACTACCGCTCTGTGAGTCTGTGCCCCCTCTGGAGCACGCCAGGCTGTTGCTCACCGGCAGTGTAGGATCCCCAGGGCCAGGCACCCTCCTGCTGCCGTTTCTCCTCTGATATCTGCCCGCGGAATCACGACTCCCCTCTTTGTACCTCAAAACCAACCACCTGTGATATTCTGTTTGTAGAGATCCAGATCTTCTTACATCTCAAGCTGGTTTCGTGGGTGCTCAGAGTGGTCTGGTAGATATCCAGCTCAATTCCGGGGACCAGTTGAAATAGGCTCCCCTACTCCTCCACCATCTTTCACCTCACAAAGATTTTCTAATGTTCCTTTATTTTGCTTCCCTAGTTGATTCATGCTGGTAAGGGGGAAGCCATCAGAATCCGGTCCATTTTGAGATCCCTAATTCCGCTGGGAGATTTGGTGGGAGTAATCAGCATTGCTTTTCAGATGCCAACGATAGCCAAAGGTAAGCCAACTTCCATTCTTTGTAATTCAGTGGGGCATTGGAGGACAGTAGTTTTATTTTTTATTTTTTTATTTTTTAAATTTTATTTTATTATGTTATGTTAGTAATTACTTTTGATGTAGTTATCCATGATTCACTGTTTTTGTATAACACCCAGGACAGGAGTTTTAAATAATAATATCAGCATCTGCATTCCTCCCCTCCACACCCCCGTACCCTACCATGTCCTACAGCATCATTACAGGACTTAAGTTTCTTTAAGAAGAGAACTATGAAGTACATTATTTTGATTGAGTTAAGAAATGCTCTATTCCCATATTCGTCTGCGCATGTTTATAAACATTTATATCTAAATGCAAAAAGATACCGCTTTTTTATAAAGTATTTTCTGTTCTCCTTGTTTTTAAATAGCTGTTTTCAATGAAATTTTAATCATTTTTTACATGACATTTCTGACCGTTTCCCCGAGAAGAGGAAATACATACTTCACCTGTCTTACCTGATTTCTTTCCTACTATTTTTGGTCCTCATTCTTCTCTTTCTTGACTGCAATCCTTTTATTTGCCCTTTTGGATATTTTTCATTACCATTTTCTTATGATGCTTCCCCCCCCCAAAATTACAGCTTTTGACTTAGAGATTAAAAGATTCCCCGTGTGTTGAAAGCGCTCTTCTCAAGACTAAGGAGAAAATTTTAAAAATAAAAATTTTTTACCATTTTCACCAAATGTCTATTGTCCTTTTTCATTATGTCATTTTGGTTTAGCAGCTGCTTGCAATTAGTTTTTTGTTTGTTTGCTTTTAAAGATTTTATTTTACTTACTTATTTTAGAGAGGAGGGGAGAGTGTGAGTGGGGAGAGGAGCAGAGGGAGAGGGAGAGAGAGAATCTCAAGCAGACTCTTCACTGACCCTGAAATCTGACCTGGAGCTTGATCTCACGACCCTGAGATCATGACCTGAGCTGAAACCAAGAGTCTGATGGATGCTTAACCGACTGAGCCACCCAGGCACCCCGATTAATTTTTAATATTAACTCAAAAGCATGGAGAATAAAGTTATAACCTGCTCTCCATGTAAATGCCAGGAACGGTGGCCCGTCACCCTGCAGCCCAGATTGGGTTGGGGATGACAGAGGGCTTAGACAGCAGTGAGTGACGTGCAGATGCTCTGCTGTGGGGGTGCCTGGAGGGCCTCGAATGACACTCACACTGCTCCCTTGCAACACCCCAAGCTACAGCAGAAATGGCAGATAGCATAGGCCTGAGGCCCATTCCCCTGGTGGTGGTTCACACTCTGCCTCCCACAGAAACAAAGATTTGAGCGTAATTGAAGACACCCAAGGGATAGTTAGATTCCAAATTAATACTTTAGTGTTAATTTTCCAGCTTCAGCTGTGTTCACTTCTCAGTAGTTTATTGGATATTGTTGCACATATCATTTTTCCCTAAACTTCTAATTTTAGAAGAACATGCGATTAGGTAGAACATGCATGTTATGATCATTTTCTTGCATCAGTTATGCCCCAGAGAGGATTAGCTGTTATTACCTGAAGTCTGGAATGAAGGGACCGCTGCGTAACTGAAGCCGGCTTCCCCTCCTTGCCAGCCTTCTGATTATGAGAAAGCAACGTTTCATATGCGCCCAGCTCACAAACCCAAACCTTCCTTCCAGGTGACATAAGCAACCACAAGAGTTGAACATTCATTCTGATGGGAGGGAAAGCTGCAACTGAAAAATTGTCCCATGACTTGTTGGCTTCTCCACTTGAGGCAATTTCTTCTTTTTTTGTGTACATACAAGATCTTCTTGTTTAGTGTTCATTTACTTAAATAAGATGTCTTTTCTTTTCCCTACATTCTGAGCCACAAAATTGACACAGTCAGGAAAAAGATAAGAAGAATACCAGTGATACACAGATTAGGGAATAGAGAAGCTTTACATTTTGAGGTAAAATTAGTAATAATGAAGAACCAAGAGCATGGGCGATAAGAGAAGCAGATAACCCATTCAGAATTTCTCCAAAGTCTCTGTATGTCTCCTAATTTTGCTCCACTTACCTGCCTTTACCAGCCTTTAATATTTTTCAAGTTGGTCTCTTTCTTCTTCCACTTAGTTGTGCTATAATCATATTATTTTGTGATGTTTTTCTTTGTAAATATGCATTACATTGTCTAGTTTAGGATTTAAAGGATTTTGTGTCGGTGGGTGAACTATCAAAGTCATGATGAAGGTGAACTTTTAAAACCCAATCCATTGGTTATTGTTAAATTTCTACATATTTCTTTTACCACTTTCCTTTTATGGAAAGTACAGACAGAAAATTGCATGTTTTTATTTTGCCACGACATGCATTTAAATCAACTTTAAAACTTGAATCGGTAGTTTTTTGTTGTTGTTTTTTAATATGTTCTAGGGACACATCAGCTGGTTCTTTAAACATCACCAATTATCACTGATAATTGTTGTATGTTCTATATTTAGTATGTGAAGTTTACCTCTTCCTCCCTTAGTGGTAGCTGAGACCTTTCTCAAAATCTTTTATCCTACCTATTTTAGAACTACAGTGTGCCCCAGAATAATAATGCAAGCAGGAGTGGTTCAGAAACCTGAGGGCAAGCACACAGTTTCAAAAGCCGATGTTCTGTTCCTGCAGCGCTTGGCCCTGGCAGGTTTGGACAGACTGTCCGAGGCCCTAATTGTAGGCAGATGAATATTTTTGCAGGTACCACAGGGAAAGGCCAGTGCACCTGGTCCTCCTCCTTCCAGTTCAAGAGCCAGAAGTCTGACAGGAGGCAGTTCTTCAACTTTATAGTCTCCAGTGTGTTGAGGAGACAGTGAAGATAAAACAGTAGCTGTAGCAAATCGATGAGTCTTGAGTCCCAGGTATATGGAACTGTAACATGCCTGAAAAGAGATGTGTGTGTGAATGAGTGTTTAAAACAGAAATCTTATTTTAGGATCACTGGGTGGCTTACCGCTTCCTTTGGCACAACTGCATATTAAAATCATAGAATCTTTTAAACTTAAATTCTCTAATAATGTGATTTTTAGGAGAATTAAACTGGAATTTCGTACAGATTTTTGATGAAAAATATAGCACACTGATTTAACGTTAAGGACTAAATCAGCTTTGGTTGGGTTTTAAATCCGATTTTCCTTGGTTTAAATCTAACTTTGCCAATTACTAGGTATACAACCCTGGGAATGTTACTTAACTTCCCTGAAGGTCGGTTGTCATCTGTTAAACGTAGCTAAGAATACCAACCTTACAGTGAGCTTTTGAAAACTGTACGAGATCGTGTCTGTAACATTCCTAGTAGAGTGCCTGATAACAACACAAACAAGAGCTATTATTCCCATTATTTTAATTATAGGAAGAAAAGTAGTAGGTATATTGAGTATTATAATTTAATAAGGAATGGAAGCTATTTCATATTAGCCTTTAATATAATTACCCTTAAAATATTGTTTCTTGTTTATTTTCACGATTCAGATAAGAAACCCATTCCTTAATTATGAAGGAAAACAAAAAAGTTGTGACTTTATTTTTTCAGGATGATTGTGGTCATGTACCCTGGGTACATGTGGGTCCTGCATCAATATTAAAGATTCTGTGATATTATCTGTAGAATTTTACAGTGTGTCATTAGTAGCAATGTTATTTGGCATAATTATCACATGGTCAAACAGGAACGAAATCTGCCAATATTTTCAATTGGTACATAATCTCCAAATTCCTCACATCAGTGGTTCCCAGCCTGTGAGTCTATGGAATTCTAGTAAGAGATTCACTCATCTATGTAGGCATCAAATATTGACTATTAATAGAGAAAAATAATATGACTCTCAAATATGTTTTAAATATTGTTAAATGCTATTATGTTTAAGGAAACATATTTCCTTTGAAAGTCAAACCAATTCATAGAGTTGTTTCATCATTTTGCAATTGTCTAAGCCATAAATATGTAAATGAACCGTGATTATCACATAGGGATATGTGAGTTTTATTAGTGTTTAAAAGAGGCTCTTATTTTTGAAAACAGGGAAAATGTCACGGTTTAACTTTTTATGGCATTTATTGCTAGTTTTACAATGTAGATTTTGGGTGCCTTTTTGTTTCCTTCTCATTATCTAGCCGAATACTATGTCTTCGATCATACACGCGATTAATAGATTCCCAGATCACATTTTGAATGACCTTGAATTTAAATTGCACTGGCATAATTCCTCAGCCAATACCCAGCACTTGCTTGTGGGTAGTAGAAGGACAAAAATCCATTCAACTGGTAACTTAAAACTTGAGGAGGCTGGAGAGAAGCAATCTATCCATTTGCAATCTATCCATTAACAACGACATGTCACCTTCTCTCTTTTAGATGGGAATGTGGTGGAGCCTGACATGTCTGCGGGGTTTTGCCCAGATCACAAGGCAGCCATGGTTTTGTTCCTTGACAGGGTCTATGGGATTGAGGTTCAAGATTTCCTCCTCCACCTTCTCGAGGTTGGCTTTCTGCCAGATCTCCGGGCTGCAGCTTCTTTAGACACGGTAATGGTTTGAACAGTTGACATCCTCAACTTTTGACTCTTCATTCGCTGGCTTGTGATATTCTCCATAGATATATTCATTCACTTATTCACTGTCACTAAATGTTTATTGAGTACCTATTATATTTTTAGGGAGGCAGTGGGTAAACAGAAAATAAAACAGACTATGTCCTAAGGAAATCACTGAATAGTGGAGAAAACTTACCACCTCAGGAGTATGATAAGAATTCTGATCGGGTACTATGGAAGACAATAAGTGTATATAACCCTAGTTTGGGAAGTCACAGTGGCTCCTTCTAACCTCCAGATTGGCCTAAAGAATTATGCTTCTCAGTGAAAGCAATTACAGTATTAAGAATGTTTAATGGACATTGTTGAGTTGGGCCAATTACACTGTCATCCTGGTGTCTTTTTTTTTAAAGCACACATAAGGCTGAAATCTCTCCTGTACATCCAGTGGCCCGCATCAAGAATCTGTCATTACTGGTGTAAATATTCTACTGTTCGGAGTATTGTAGGATAAGATGAAGCTCTAAATGTTATTTCAGTAGTTATAATAATACCTCCTTTTATTCTCAATTAAATGGATCTTTTTGATTCCAGAGGAAATCAGATCTTCAGTTGACAATAGCTCTTTCAGGAAAGTCAGGAGAGGAGAATCATAAAAATAAACTGAAATTTCTTTTTCCTTTGTTGGGTGTGTTCGCATGAAATTCTGAACCTAAACAGGAGAGCTGATACCATAATAAGACAATCAGCCTTTGGCTATTGATTCTGCTGGACACGAGCTAAAATATAAATATAAATAACTCACATTCCTAAATATCATTAGTGTCTTCATCACACATCCATCCTCCCCTTGATATCTTATTATAGAATATGAGCCTCTTGGGCTTCTTGAGGAGGGAGCTAGGACTATAGATACCACTTCATTTTTATCTGTTTATGAGCAATTGGAAGTTGATTGTTTCCAGTGGTAAAAAATCATACCCGAGGAGTCCATCTCCATTGTTCATGTACTTGTCATTTTCTAGAGAATGAAATCCCATGTCCACACATTCATCCCTTTGAGAGTTGTCTACTGCCAAACGCAAATGACTTTCTACTCTCACAATTCCTTTCTAGGCTGCTCTGAGTGCTACAGACATGGCCTTGGCCCTCAATCGGTACCTTTGCACAGCCGTGCTGCCTTTGTTAACGAGATGTGCCCCTCTTTTTGCGGGCACAGAGCACCACGCTTCTCTCATTGACTCCTTACTTCACACTGTGTACAGACTCTCTAAGGGCTGCTCTCTTACCAAAGCTCAGCGGGATTCCATAGAAGTTTGTTTACTCTCTATTTGTGGGTAAGTGGGAAACTAACTCCGTATCAAGCTGCTGCTTCTTTGAGAGAGAGAATTTACGATAGGGCCCTTGACAGATGGTTAGGAATTTTGGAAGAAATTTCCGTACCGAAAAACGGAATTCATTTTAGGTAGTCCCCTGTACCTGAGGTTGGAATCAGAGCACCCTTGCTCCTGGTCAAGTTCAGGAGTCTTATTCCAGGACTCTCTAAGGTATTTGGCCATTGGATAGAGTGCTGGACCAGTTTTCTGGATATTGGTGGGCAGGGGAACTGTGTGCGAGGAGTCCCTGGTCACTTTTGTGTAACATTAGAAGATTCTCCCCTTTTGACTATGTGCGATGATTTTAACTCCTCTTCCAGAAGAGAAAGGAAAAAAGAGACTTATTAAAGATAAAAGATGATACAGTATAATATTAAAGCCTTATTGTGGCCATCATGAAGGCTATGTCCTTCATGCTGGAAAACCACTTCCTATAGGTAGAAGTGTTCCTATAGGTCTTACTCTGAAAGCCAGGACATACCTTCTCCTGTTGGGGTTCTGACAGCTAATGTGACAGTTTCTCACATCCCTGGGTGGGGTGATGGCTTCCTTCTGATTGCAAGAGCAGGCGAAGGCGTGTGGTCTAGCGGTGCACTGGTGAAGAAATGTTTTCGCTCACAGCCAACTATGTGGGTTTAGAAGCCAGATGGGACTGAAGGAGATGAAAAATGAGAGGGTTATGTCTCTAACTCCCCTGATGCTAACATTCTGTAAAATGAGACCAAAGTCACTATCTCACAGAGTTTATCTACTTCTTAAACGAGGTGATACATTCAGGATGACCTGACACAATAGATGTGTGTGAGTTTTCTTTCCCGTCCTCCTCTGGCCAGATTTCTGCCTCAGCCTTTTCCCCCTCCCTCCTGTTTCAGCACTCCCTCTTGTGTTTGCTTCTAATTGAGTCACAGAAGACCCTTCCTGGCTAGTGGAGTGAGGGAAGAAGCACTTACTGTAATTGCTGGAGCCAAGGGTCTCAGGAAACAGTAGGGTCTATGGTGGTGGGTGGTTGGGAAGTGAAGGGAGAAGAGGAACATCGGTAGCAAAAAAGGAGTGGGCTTCAGATCTAGGGGATAGAGAGGAGTTGGAAATGTAGCCTTTTATACAGTTGTGTAGTGGTGGGCTAATTGGGGGCACCTCATTAACCCCATCTGAAGAGAGGTGTAGGTACAGGTTCTTGGCTAGAATTTAGTCTCATGAATTATTTCCTTAGATTAGAGACATTGCCCTTCATTATTAAAATGAACTTTGTCCCACCAGCCAGTTGAGACCTTCTATGATGCAGCACTTACTCCGAAGATTAGTATTTGACGTGCCATTATTAAATGAACATGCAAAGATGCCTCTTAAGGTAAGTAGAGGAAATGTCTGTAGTTACGTGATTACTGGGTCCTCTGACTTTTCTCCTCTTACAGTATGTACAGCTCTTAGAAACACCAGGCTTGATTTTCAATGCTGGAAAATTTCTCCCAATTCTTGGAAGTGGGCATATAAATTTGAGAGATGTGTACATCACAATACAGTAAGTCCTAAAAGATCATAGGAGTTCTAAGATTAAATCAATCTTAGGTGAATGGCAATGGAAATCAATGGGAAAAATGGGCAACAAAGAAACCATGAGCCAAGGTATTCTTCAGGGTAGAAAACATGTAGTAGGTGTGGCCTGAAATATTAGCAACCTTCGGGGATAAAGAGTAGGCTTTCAAAAACACCCATTTTCTAAGTCGGTAATCACATGGCAGTTTCCAAATGTTATGTCTTAGGGTTCAAAGATAACCTGTCTCTGCAGTTACAGTTTGTCACCGAGTATGGAAGAATCACTGACATTTTCTCTGTTCAGCTTCATTATTCCGTTCATGAATGAATGGGTCTCATACTGTCTTACTGACTTGAGAATATTTTTCTATCATCTAATATTGCAATCCAGTTTTAGGATTAGAATATTTGGTGTGTCCTAATACATCTAATAGCATGGTCTGTGCATGGAAGTCATAGGCATGTAATGGACTGTTTTATGGGTAGCCTCTGTGTACTGTCATCTGGTAAACCTCATTTTTCCTCATGGCCACCCAGTAACAGTGCTGGAAAAAAGAAGTCTGAGATATTTATAAATGAGTCAGTTTTTTGAGCTGCTGTTACTCTAAGCTTCCCTAGATACTTAGCAAATACAGTCTTTCTCCCTGAAAATTCATTTTGGTTTAATAAATTTAAATTAATGAATGATGCAAAGTAAATGATATTCTTGCTGAAAATCCCATTTTTACAGTTTTTATCCTCTAGAAGAGCTCTTCCCATACAAAATTTTCTTCATACAAATGAGCTGGAAGTTACCTGAAAAAAGAGATGGTACTACTTTATGTGATAAACTCTTTTAGGTTGTAGATATTTCCAAGTTAATCCAAACACATTAGATCTTAATATTTCATCATTTGAGATTTCTAAATTGTGTGTGTGTAAGTATTTCTCTAGTAAGAGATGTAGTTTGTTTTAATAACATCAATCCTTTTTGATCTATTTCCCTCCTTAGTTACAGAAAAGAGAGTCCAAAAATTTATAGTTGATTCATAAAGATAATTTTATTAATTCAGCAAGTAGTTGTGAATATTTGTTAAAGATCAAAAATGAATTACTAAAGAACTAAAGAAGAATTAGAAGATTCTATCCTTGTCTTTAAACTTAGTTTAGTCCTAAACAAACAAAATGTACACAGAGGAAAACTGAAGATGAACACAGACACTTGGCAAGATAAGAAATTTAGCATCCATAACCACCAAAGAAAGATAGGTAAAGAAATTACTGAAATAGAGTAGTTTGGGAAGTTTACTTAGAGATGTTAAGTTCTGAAGCAAAGCCTAAAGTGTGGTGATTAAGGATTGGCAAAAAGGAAGCAAAAATATTCAGAGGTAGATTTCCCTTAGAATGTACATTTCAGGTGCTGTATCCTAGATATACTTCCTCGTGCCTCTGGGTCACCCTGACATTAGTCCTTTCATTAAGTGCAGATGTGCATATCCAGAGGATCGCTATTCATAAAACTGAGTAAATGATAGCAACTAATACAGGACTCAGGGATACATCAATAACCAACCTCATAAAGAATGCTGTTCAAGGCGCACTTATGTGTTAAATTGGGCATTGGGTCCTCATACTGTGCTCAGTGTTATATTTTAAAGAGGCATGGTATAAAAGGTAAATAGTGTTCTCCAGAAGAATTCATATGGGATAGAGCAGTTCTGTTTCAGTTGACCTTATTACATGGCATTTGAATGTCAAATGGGAAGAAAGGGGAAAATATAAAAGGTATCTTTCACACATTGCTTTTATAATTGTTTTCTCACATAGCTGCTGACAAATCATTATGAAAGATGCTGGAAATATTACTGTCTGCCCGGAGGGTGGGGGAACTTTGGAGCTGCCTCCGAAGAAGAGCTTCATTTATCAAGAAAGTTGTTTTGGGGCATTTTTGACGCCCTATCTCAAAAGGTGATTTAAGATTTTATGGACTTTGTGTGATGCAATAATTTAAAAGCTATAAATATTCCTAGTGGAATATTACCTTTACTTATTAAGACTAAGGTAGTTCTTTTTCCTTTTTTCAATGTCCAACAAATATTGAGAATGCAATTTATATTTAATTTTAATAATCATTATGGTAACATGTTCCTTGTGATCGTAACACCTTCAGAACTTAAAATGGCTAAGCATCTCAGGAAATTATGCACGTGGTTGAGTTTCTGATGCATTTGGACTTACCGGATTCAAACCCTCCCTAGTCATCCGGATCTTAAAAACCATGAAGAAATATAATCAAATATAAAAATATGCCGTCTCATAAAATTGTAATATTCCAGTGGCCTTACTGGCTTTTCCCACTTTGCTGCTATGGAGATTTAAGTCACTCCACTCCGTGTTGCTTTCTATATGCAATATTCTGTAATAGTTGGTATATTTATAAAGAATAGTTCATATATTTTCACAAGGCTGGGGGTGGGGATAGTTCTTCAGGGAAAATCAGAATAGCCTGCTTTGTATGCTTCTGCTTAAATTATTAATCAAAATCAGTTTGAATTCCCGGATAGACATTATTAAACAACTGGAGCAGGATATCAAGAAGTTTGCTGTGTAATAGAGTGAAGTTCACTCGAGATTACAGTTGGAAGCTACATCTTGATGCTTTTTGTCACTGAATTGCCTTTGGTAAACTGAGGGTCCTTTTAAAATAATACATAAAAGGCAGTTTTAGAAGGATTTACAACATTAATTTAAAACTGAACACTTAAAGTGAGATAATTTTTAAATAATACTATTTTTTAATTTTAAAAAAAAATCTATAAATACAAATTTAGTCACTCATGTAATTAATATACAAATAACACTTCCCAGAAATTTTGATTGTGCATATTCCCTATAGAATTTCTTTCTTAGTGTAGAATTCTTAGTTTAGATCTGTCAAAATTTCTTACTCTCTGGAATGTCCCTTTATGTGTGTTTCAAGTATAGTCTTTATAATATGGTGTAGTAATATTCTGTAATTATGCTATTGATTGAAATTGTGTTGTAAAGACATGTTATACATTTAGAATACTCAGGTTTATTTCATAAAATATTGGAGAAAAACTCTTGAAGAGGCAAAGATTTTCTTAAGTGGCAACTGCAGTAAATCTGACTTCAGCCTCTCTCCTGTTTGGTGGGATTTCAGCTGTGAAATGTTAATGTTCCATTTGCTAGACAAAGAATCTGTGAGGGAGTTGAGTTAGCCTAGGGTCATTCTGATTTTCTCGTAAAACATCTTGCCAGCCACAGCAATCATTTTGACAACTTTTGCTCAATAGTAATACAGGTTTTTTGTGTTTTGGTGTTTTTTTCTGTCCTCCATTTCTTCCCAGAAATACGAACAAGAACTTTTCAAACTGGCTCTGCCTTGCCTGAGTGCAGTTGCGGGAGCTTTGCCTCCAGACTACATGGAGTCAAATTATGTCAGTATGATGGAAAAACAGTCATCAATGGATTCTGAAGGGAACTTTAACCCACAACCTGTTGATACCTCAAAGTATGGACTCTTTCTATTGCAGCAGATTTTTATTGTAAATGATGTGTGAAGTCTGAAATTGAATAAGGTACTAAAGTGAACTTTCTGTAATCCATGCCCCCTTTGAATTGGTATCCTTTTGATAGGGGTCCCTTTACTTGACGAAATGATGGTAGTAACAGTAATGATTATACAAATATCAGAAGTAGACAAGATGTACCTTCTAGGATACTCAACATAACCCAAATTCTCTGTATGTAACCACATGGTAATATCTACAATAACGAGAATCAAGAAAGCATATTAGCTCTTTTTAGTTGAAAATTTACCCTAAATGTTTATTAATAATTGCAGCCAACCTCTGTCTATCGTCTTTGACTGGGGGTGATACCAGCACGCAGGGTAAAGCTGGTCCTCTGAGCTGTGGGAAGTCACTCCACCATCACTACATCTCAGTGAAGCCTAAGGGTAGTAGCCGATGTTCAGCATCATAAAGCAAAGCATGAGATTCCAGGGAATATCAAATGAGAATATTGGTGGAAAATTGAGCGTATAGTTAGAATGCAGTGTGACAACCTTAGCCACAGATAAAATGTTACTTAACATTATGAAACTTCTTACTCGTACTTAGTTGCGTAAATCATTTTGCAAGTGGGGTGTCTCAGTACTTCCAGTGTTTGGGAGTCTCAGCATTTTTGTTGTTACTGTCTTTGAGTAGGACCATGGTTTCCCATTGGGGAGGAGAGCTGACTCTTCATGCTACATTATCTTATCGATTCCATGGTGACTCCGCAAGATCAGTGGTTAGCAAGGTAGTCACTTGGTAGCTGCCATCCACAGCGTCTGAATTTGCTTGGGAGTTCAACTTTTAGGCTTCTGGGCGGCCCCTGGCTGGTTTAGCTTCCATAACAGATCAAAATTTCAACCCAAGTGGTATGCCATTAGTTGGATAATGCCTTACATTTGCATGTTTGGTATTTGATGACAGTCCTGTGAGAAAAGACTCTACCCCCCAGTATTTGGCTTATGTGATTGATCCTTTGTATCTCTTCCAATGTAAGTAAATCAGAATATCACATGCTCAGTTCCTACATGGGTAAGTGTGTGGTTTGTTAACATACAATATAATCCAGGATTTTAAAATAATATCAGAACATGTCATGGTCTTGGTGTTGATTAATTAAATCTAATTAATTAACAACTGTTGGGCATGTGTAGTCATTTACCAAGGCTTGCCCCTTCGGGGAATTCTTACCAGGTTAGGTTTACTTAGTGATATCAATCATTTCTATATCTTTGTGATTTTTGTATATCGTTTCTTAAGCATGTCTGTGCCCTGTAGTTCAATCACTGACTGATAACATTGTTGAAAAAGAACAGTAAACCATCTCATTATGCTAGGTTTTATTTAGAGTTCAGTTCTCAATGTTAATTGTGATAAGTTATGTGTGTGAATGAATGGAATTATATATATATGTGTTTGTATATTTAATTGTCCATTCATCAATATATCTAATATTCCCAAGTCCCATATTTACCATTAGACTGGGTTATCACTTGCATGCACTCAACATCTGTTTAAGAGATCATATATTAATTAAATATGAAAGGAATCAAAAATAAGTGTTAAGATCACAGAGCATGAGTAGGTTACTTTTCACCATAATCCATATTAACAACAGTTAGAATGTTATATGTAGACCATGAAATTTAAAATCATTAACGCATCACTAGTTGTAGGGCAATTTAAAATTTTAGTACATTTAAAAAATGTAACGAGATTTCAGCCATCTTTTACCCACTTATAGTTGTTGTAGACGAGACAAGTCAAAAAGGGAGAATAACTTCAAAGAATGAATATAGAAGAGAAGTATGTCTTTAAGCTCATTGAGTCTAACTGTATCTTGATTCAGGTTTTAATTTTTTTTTGGTATAATCTATTGTCCTTATCCTTGAATATAATTTAATTATTTTTACTTATATATAATTTTTAACATATATAACTTATGTGGAGCCATAATAATATATGGATTAATATAAGATAAGCAGACAGAACATTACAGCTTGAGTTTTACTCTGTTCCTACACTATGGAAAAGTAATACCTTGTTAAGATAATTTTTTAACAGTTGTGCATCGAGTGGGATTTATGCAGTAATAAGCTGTGAGTAAATTATTGGTATGATTTCCTGTAAATCCTATAAAAATCAAGTTTTTTTTCTTTATTTTTCTCATAGTATTACAATTCCTGAGAAGTTGGAATACTTCATTAACAAATATGCGGAACATTCTCATGACAAATGGTCAATGGACAAGGTAAAAGCCGGAGTATCACATTCTAACTCAGTACTGAGTGTGCCTAATGACGAGTCACTGCTCAAATATTTCTGACCATGACAGTTTTCTACTTTAAAGTGAGAGCTGTATCTAGATTAGGAAAGAACATTTAATTATGATTTGCTGATACAGTATTTAGTTCTGCCATTAACACATGTGTAATATACATATGAATAAGGATATTTGTTCATAAAGGGGTGCCTGGGTGGCTCAGTTAGTTGAGCAACAGACTTTTGGTTTCAGCTCAGGTCAGGATCTCAGGGTTGTGAGATCAAGCCCCACGTCTGTCTCTGTGCTCAGTGGGGAGTCTGCTTGAGAATTCTCTCCCTCTGCCCCTTCCCCCATTCAAATAAGTAAATAAATCTTTTAAAAAAGTATTTGTTCTTAGAAGCACAGTTTTAGGAATAAAAATTCTACTAATTGAGTCATAAATATAGTTTCTATACACATAGTGTTTATGGGAGTACAAAGTAAAAATCATAAGTACAAGTAATAATCATGGCAAATGGATGGATTTGTGGAGAAATATATTCCGACTCATCTAAAGTTCAGCCATTAGTGAAACCATAGAAACTATTATCTGAAAAGGTGACTCTGCATCAGAACTCTTTTAAAGAAACTTTGACTTTATATATAATTTTATATTAGATAAAACCTTGAAAATTATTGATTCGAATTGACTGATTGTTTACATCTTCTACTCCTCTGTTGTGTGTCTTACTACTAAGTAGATCTGCAGGTCACTAAGGATAAATCACATGGCAAGATGACATGTCTGTGTTGTCAAAAAAAGAAATAGTGTAAGCAAATGAGATAAGTAACACATGTCCTACCTACCATGAAATTCTCTAAAAGAAAGCTTGTGGCTGAGTAGTGACACTATGTTGAGCCTGGTTAAATTTGAGAGATGATGACTGTGAAGGTTTGTCAGAGAAATTGAGCTGAGGACGCAGGAATCTAAGATAAGCATGCTCTGTTGGAGGAGTGAAGGTCAAAGATCACAGGTTCTGAGGTGTTTGTATTTGTACAGCAGCTCCGTATCATCCTGCTAGACTTTCTATTCAATTTCAGTTCTTGCCTTAACCAATCCGTCTCCTTCTCCTAAGAAACCCTCTTTTTGGTTTGATAAATATGTGGCTCCTTCACTTTGTTCACTCGTTTACTTATGAGGTGAGTCAGTATGAGTTAAGTTCTGTTTTAAGTTCTGTTTTATGTAAAGACTCTGTTGGGTACTGAGCTGGTGGTGGTGATGGAGAGGAAATGTCCGGGTAAGCTGTCCTGAGCAATCCCAGTCCAGTTACTCAGATTCCATAGGCAGATATGAGAGGAGATAGGGAAATGGTGATGGATACAGAATATGTATGTGGGCAAAATAATGTGGAACAAACGTGTTGAGAGATCACTGAATACTGGAGCAGACAAAACAGGTAGCATTATTCAGAGAAGCTTCCATATAAAGCAGAATAATCCAGTTTTCCTGTTTAAGATGAGCATTTCAAAAAAACATTAAAAAAAAAAAAGAGCATCTCAGGTGGAGAGTCCCAAGATGTGGCAGAATCAATATGATGGAGGCCATGCACCCCGTAGTCTGCTCCTGGGGGAAGTGCTTATGACAGAATCACAGACCTGGGTCTGTTTAAGGAAAACTGGGTGTGTTTAATCTTTGTATGAGAAGAATTGCTCTCAGTGATTACTCAAAAATAATACTGGTTAGGATGGAAATCTTTATATTGACTTATGCTGGGTGGAATTCAAACCTTAATGTCTTGGTTTATTTTAGATTTATTTTACCAAATACACTTAAACACATGCATACCTACACTCTCAAAAACTAATCCATATAAATAATTTTGATGATTTTTTTTAAGTTGGCAAATGGATGGATTTATGGAGAAATATATTCAGACTCATCTAAAGTTCAACCATTAATGAAGCCATATAAACTATTATCTGAAAAGGTGAGGGTTTTTTTTTTTGGATATGCAGTTTAATTTATTTTGAATTTTTTATTATGTAATTTATGTAAATTATGTAAATTAGGAGGTTATTCTCTCCTTAATATTTTTCTGTCCCTTTTTTATTTTTATTCCTCCCCAATATTTTTAAGGACTTTAGAAAATATTCTTATCATACTTAAGAGTTTCTTGATGAGGGATAATGAAGTAATATTTACAATGATTGTTATTTATAAGTTTTCATGTATTTTACTTATTAGGAGGAACAATCAGTATCTTGACAAATGAGGTGAAAAGAACTTTGTAGCTTGGTGCTTATGGAGGAAGAGTTATTCTTGTCTGTTTATTCAGTTGGTGGAAAAGCCTTCACATGTGTATCATATAATCTGGCACTGTTTCTCCTTTTTAGTTTCTATCTAAAGTATCAGAAGTGGGGAAACTAAAGGAAATTATTACCTCCACGCTGAGATCCCTCTTAGCAGTCTCAGTCAAACTAAATCTCAGCTCACACTCTGCTTTTCAGAAATTTTACTTTGCTTTTTCATTTTTAAATAAACAATATCAATCTTTTTTTCTTCATAAGTGGAGGCAGTCTATTTCAGATTTTTTATTTTCATTCAGATGCATCATACCCACGCCCTTTTTTTCCTCTTTCTTTTTGTCCCTAGGAAAAAGAAATTTATCGCTGGCCAATCAAAGAGTCTTTAAAAACCATGCTGGCGTGGGGTTGGAGGATTGAGAGAACGCGGGAGGGAGACAGCATGGCACTCTGTAACCGCACTCGTCGAATTTCTCAGACAAGTCAGGTAAGAACCACGCTGGTGAATCCACTGCTCATGTCTAATCCTGGCTTTTATCGGTTTTAAGACATACATTTGCCATAGTACCTGTGAAATTAGGAATCATTTATCATCGTGGAGTTGATGAAGTATGGCTTGGTGCTATAGGGAATACTAAGACGAGGACGGCTCAACCTGTGTCCACAGATTTTTCCTGTATAGCGGAACAATTTGGAGAATAACGAACATTTTGAAAATCCAGTTCTGACAACAGAATAGGGAATGAATTAGAGAAGGAGGAGATTGAAGACAGAAAGGCCGATTCCTTGGGAGATACTGTAGACATCCCGTGAAACAGAATAGAAGTAGTAAATATCTGAATTAGAGCAAAGGTAATGGAAATGGAGGGAAGTGAATATATCCTGGAGATATTTTTGAAGTAGAAAAGACAGAATTTTGTGACTGTCTGATAGAGGATTGTGGATGAGGAGGAGTAATCAGAGGTGATAGCCATGGATCCGGGCCGGCCTGCCAGGTGGGTGGTTATGTTAGGTAAGGTCAGGAACACAGCAGCCCTCGGAGATGACAAAGACAGAACAATAATTTGATTATAGATGTTGTGTTAGGCAGAATATGGCTCCCAAAGATGATCCCCAGTTGCTGGAATCTATGAAAATATTGTTTTACTTGGGCTTTGCCAGTATGATCAAAGTTAAAGACCTTGAGATGGGGGGAAGTGGGGGTAGGGTGCCTGGGTGGCTCAGTTGGTTAAGCATCTGCCTTCAGCTCAGGTCATGACCCCAGGGTCCTGGGATCGAGTCCCACATCAGGCTCCCTGCTCAGCGGGGAGTCTGCTTCTCCCTCTCCCTCTGCCCTTCCCCCAACCCACGTTTCAAATAAATAAATCTTAAAAAAAAAAACAAAAAAAACCACAGGACAGTATGAGAAGTCTTAGAGTTGATGAAAAGATATGTTTCATTTTTTAAAAATGCCAAAATTCAGAAATTACCAAAATTCAGAAATTAAGTTTCCTTGTTTTGGGGGACAACTTTGTTAATCGTTGACTACTGACTACTTTTAAAATTAAAGAGTTGGTTGTATTTTGTCTTAACATTTGGCCCATTGAGACATTTGTAGATATTGCCCTCTTTGATTAATTACTGTTTGCATGAGGAAGAGTAAATTTTATTGCAGCCAATTCAAATCTGTAAGAAACTGAAGAATACGGAGATCCTTTGACGAAGGTAATGTTTCAGAATCTTGGATTCATTGCACAATTTGTTGAATTCTGATCATTAGCTTTTGGGATTGGCAGTCCCTGTGATGTTGGGATGTATTATTCAGTCATCAATGGAAATGATCAGACACCCAAACAGGATTTAATTTGCTAGATATGTTTGTGAACTAAGTTTGTACAGATACTTGCCGGTTTCATCTGACGAAACTTTACACGTGGAAGTTTATTTGTCCCATATTTCTGATGTTTGTCTTAAGTCTCCACTGGGTTTTTTAATTAGACTCCATTTTTTTCACCTAAATCGTTTAGGTTTCTGTAGATGCTGCACATGGTTATAGCCCCCGAGCCATTGACATGAGCAATGTCACACTGTCCAGAGACCTGCACGTAAGTATTATTGACTTTTAAAAGTACCCTGCAGGGGCGCCTGGGTGGCTCAGGTGGTGAAGCGTCTGCCTTCAGCTCAGGTCATGATCCCGGGGTCCTGGGATCGAGCCCCGCATCGAGCTCCCTGCTCAGCGGGGAGTCAGCTTCTCTCTCTCCCTCTCCATCTGCTGTTCTGCCCGCTTGTGCACTCTCTATCAAATAAATAAATAAAATATTTTTTTAAAAAGTATCCTGCAAAGTTCATTTTTTAAAAAGCATGCTGTAACACTTTCCTTCCTGTATTTTTCCTCATGAATTATTTGAATGTGGTGATCATATAAAGGGTCTATCGAATTTATAGATTATGGACCTTAACTTCTTAATTGCTTTTAAAGTTGATATAACTTTTTCTAGGATATTTCCTCTAGATAATTTATTTTCCTTAAAGATAATGTCTATTAAAAAAATCCTACTATAATGAAGTAGTTGTGTGTGAGAAGAGAGTAAATAAGGAATTAGTAATGCTCTGCTTAAGGGTAACCTCAGTTACTCATTAAAGAATGTGTATTTTAAGTCATTTATCCAGTTACTCATTAAAGAATGTGTATTTTAAGTCATTTATCCAGTAACCTCAGTTACTCATTAAAGAATGTGTATTTTAAGTCATTTATCCAGTAACCTCAGTTACTCATTAAAGAATGTGTATTTTAAGTCATTTTAAACTGGTGGCGTTCTGCCTGTTCCATCCATAGTTGTATCTGTTCTCCTTTGTCCCTAAGGAACATACTTTGAAATGGCTGATTTGAGTAAAAGAAAATGTGTTGTCTTGGATCAGAAGTTGACAGGTTGATATAATGATCAAACAACAATATTGGTATTGTTAGTATTATTCCAAGAGAAATAAATACGTAAAGACAAACCCTATGTCGTAGGTCATGTTAATTATCTTACATTGTTTGGCTTGCCCAATGCTCCCATATGGATGGATATCTTAAAATGAGATAGTTAACTTGACAATCAAGAGGGAAAAAGAGAATCTGAGAGACGATCTTATCAAAAAGCAAAAGGCCATGGAAGGGCACCTGGGTGGCTCAGTCTGTTAAGTGTCTGACTTTTGAATTTAGCTCGGGTCTCATGGTTGTAAGATCGAGCCCTGTGTTGGTCTCCCCACTCAAGTGGGAGTCTGCTTGAGATTCTTTCCCTCTGCCCCTCCCCCTGCACACACACATTCTCTCTCTCTCTCTCTCAAATAAAAAAAAAAAAGCAAAAGTCCACAGAAAGGTTAATGTGGTTTGTCTGTGGTATCTGGTCTCTCCCCAGGTTTGGGACAGACATGGAATCTAGAATGTCCCTCTAGGTTCTTTGCATTCATTGTTTAATAAAGTTTAGATTGTCTTTTAAAGCTTTGGAGATTACAATAAGAACTTGTAAAGAAATAGATTTTTTTGTTAAAGTTCACGGCTAATTTGAAGTTTCATTATTGAATTAATAAAACCTGTGTCCTTGAACATTACAAATAACAAGAATCATTCGCATCAAATCACTTCTGCTATTTACTACTGCGTGGTTTCACAGGCTGGTAGAATTATCTGGGATTTAGATTCCAACTAAGAGTTATGTTTAATTATCTTTCAGAGGTATTTTAGCACTGACACGCTATGATTTATTAATTTAAAGTATGTTATGATATTACATATTGGCAAGCAAAGTCCTCTATTTCTACTCCTTAAATTATAACTTATTTGCTAAATATTTCGTTCATTTAAGGCTATGGCAGAAATGATGGCTGAAAACTACCATAATATATGGGCAAAGAAAAAGAAACTGGAACTGGAATCCAAAGGTAATATTTTCTAAAAATCCTGATTAAAAAACAATCAGAGTGCTACTCTGTGAATCTCTGAAATGGATAAAACAGTCTTTTTAGAATGAGAACTTATTATACATTTGTTTTCTTAGAACAGTTCAAATATGCCCGTAACAGTTTCAGGTGGAAATTCCATAATTACCTGACTGCAAGTGTACATTTCTTCATGTCTCAGAATTCTGATGGCTCTCTCTTGCATATTTTAGCTTGTAGATACTGGTTTCTTGTCCTAACATTCAAGGTATTCTGTGAATTACTTAGACCTTGCTCACTGACTTCTATCACTAACTTAAATATTTTTCTCACATCATCCCTTCCTACTTCCGGTCAGTCCAGTCATGTTCTTGTCTCCTACATGCTTTTGCTTTTCTTTTCTGCTGTTTTTCTTAAATACTAAAATGACTAAATATTTGCATAAATCGTTTCTTCAGTTTAGTGCCTCCTACACTGATGATCTCTTTCATTGTTATTTATTCAGTATTGGTCTATAAACATGTTTGTGTGTGTGTGTGCATGCACGTGCACACCTCTGATTACTTCCTATATGGACTTCTTCCCCCCCACCCCCGCCGAGAATATAACTGTCTTAAGGTCAGGACCATAACTTCTGTTACTTTTGTAATATTTACTGTGTAGTTCTAGGCACCAAGAAGCTTTATTTCTTATTTGTTGGCATAGGTAAAAATATATGGGAGATAGTTTTGAAGGTCTGGGGTATTTCAGGGTGAAAAGTATAGCTGTGATATTGCAGGGTGGTACCACGTACCAAACACTAGGAAACAGAGTAGCACAAATTAGAATCAGTCATGGAAATGAACAGAGAGGATTTCTTACACCACAATTGCCTATTGCAAAATTTGACGCAAGGCTAGGCCTGTTTTTCTAGAATCATTCCATGAACATTTGATAAATGGATGGATGGATGGATGGATGGATGGATGGCTAGCTGAATCATAGTGGCATAGAGTTTTGCTTAGTGGAATTCTTGAAGGAGCATTGTCCACGTGACTAGTAAACAAAATCCCTATTTTTCACGTGAGCCGATGACATGAAAAAAATCTGTTCTCTTTTTTTCCAAGGGTTTCAGTCACTATGGCTTGGTCAATTTCTGAGCCAGCCATTAGGTGTCCCACAGCCAGTGTTTTCTTGAAGGCATGCTGCCTGTAAGTGAGATGCCCAGACCTCTGTGGACAGGTTGAATTGGTCCAGATTCAGACTGCGTGGTTGGGAGACAAGCATGGGTGTGTCAGGCCAAACGGTGAGGTGGTGATATTAGTCCTCAAAACTTTTAATCATTCTTCTTACTCCACATAACTTTCCCCTTTTGGAGGAGAAAGTGAGTGGTTGAGGACCAAAACAGCAGACCAGGAGGAAAGGTGTTGGAATATACAGCACTGGATCTTGACTTTTGGTTGTTGAGACTAACAAAAGTCAGAGAGATGAGTCTTAGAAAGAAGATAAATAGACTAGAGGCTGTGGACAGCTTTAGGAAAAAAACGACTTGTGTCTTTTCTCAAATTTGTTCTCTCCCCTGGGGACTTTGACACCAACCTGTGTCCTCAGGTGCCAGTCATGGTCCCTATGTCTTGGTGCCTGTGGTGTGTGTGTGTGTGTGTGTGTGTGTGTGTGTGAAAGGGAGGAAGGGAGGGATGGAGGAAGGAACAGCAGGAGAGAAGTACAGGAAGTCAGGAACAAGGAGACAGCTAGAAACAAAGTCGTTTACAAAGTCATTTACAATTCACAGTCACACACCTAGACATCTAAAAGAATCCGTTCAGGAGCTGCACACTTTAGTTTCCACCCCATCCTGGGCTTTTTATTTTCTCTCCCACCCTCTCTTTCTCTCCCTCCTTGATTATCTGGTATTGGCATCTGACTCCCAAATCACTGTGGTTGCCAAATTAATATAATTAATATTATATATTATAATATAATATAATTTTCTAGGAATAAAGGACTAAATGCAATAGTGGAGTTCAAAATAGGAGATGATTGCAGGATGATTAAATTAGATGTTTGATTTACAACTCTTTTTTTCATAAAACATCCTGTTACATCTTTGATTATGGTAGAAGTCAAATCTGTTCTCAGTGTGCTTAATAATATATTCTATATCCTTCTTGCTGTTCACAGAATGCTGGTTTCTATTGTCTTCTAACAATTGCATTATACTCGATACTGTTAATACCAGACTATAAAATAACTGATGGATCCTTCATGTGTTTAGTGTTCCTTGGCTTGGTAGCGACAGGCTGTCCTTTGCATTTATGACAGTATAGTGTCACCTAATGGTGAGAAAGCTCAGTGCGCGATTGCATTTCTGTAGATGGAACTCTCAGTCCAAGCAAACTCCAGGAAAATGTGGCATTATCTCCTTTGCCTTTTTGATTGCTTATTTCACATGTCGGGCAAATTCATTATTTGTGATTGTTTTAGTGGCTCCCGGCGACATCATACTGGACACTGATCTAATAGGCTCTACGTTGTCCCCACAATTCAAATCAAATATTTATTTTTAAGTATTTTTTCTGGAATTCCCATTAGCAGCTTGGTTTCCAGGAATTTCAGCATCCTGTTGAAAATATATTCCCGTACGTGTTTTATAAACTTTACATCTGGGGCACACCGCTCATCAGATCTTTACATCTGGAATTACCAGTGCATGTTCTGAAACTTTTATAAATTTTACAGAAATTTTTACAAAATCTGTAATTTTATAAAGACATTTTTCAGTATTCGTTTTTTAAAAAGTTCAATATTTTCTAAATCTAAAAGGATACTCTTTCGTATTTTTCGCTAAAATAGGTAAACTGGAAACCTAGATGCTTGCCAAAATTTTTAATCAGTCAAGTATGTATGCTACTCTTATTAGATATTTAAGAGAGATTTGCTTTTGACTTAGCAGCCTAAGTATAGGTTTTGTGACTCTAAAGTACTGTTTGATCTGGGAAGCATACTAAAAATTCCATATTTAAGACATTTTTTTCCTCTCTCTCTCGGGGGTGGAAAATGAAGCCTATCCCTTGAAACGTGCCTTATAACTTCACTGGCTCAAGCTGTGCATGTTTTGGGGTGTATTTACACACTCCACATCCAGAATTCGTTTGGATGGAGGGGGAATGCGGCTTCTCCTCCCTTCTCATGTGCTTGCAGATGTCATCAGAACTTGATATCACAAATACCTGCGTGTCCGTATTTTAATTGCCTCTTAGAAGGCATATGCACAGTCTTTCTTTGAATGGGTTTCCTAAATTAATTAGAACATTAAAGGCACTGGAGAGTCAAGAGCCTTATATGACTTGTATATACTCCGTGTATAATAGAAAGATACTAGAAGTTCTGTAATGTGGTCCTGTTACACATGCCACTCTATCACATTTCGGATTATTTTCTAATTGCAGTGCTGTATTCTTGTCTCGGCATGCTCTCAGGAGGTGGAAACCATCCCCTGCTGGTGCCCTATGATACGCTGACAGCCAAAGAGAAAGCCAAGGATAGGGAAAAAGCACAGGACATCCTCAAATTCTTGCAGATCAATGGCTATGCTGTATCCAGGTAAAAGCACACCTACCATTACACGTTCTTGTTATGAAGACTGATTAAATTAGTCAACTAATTAACTGATTAAATTAATCAATTAAGACTGATTAAATCCCTGACAGATTTAATGCTGAAAATGATTCAGTGATCCATTTAAACCTTAGACCTACTATTTAGTATCTTCAAAATACACACATCAGAAACATTAACGCCCTTGGCTGTTTGTCACCTGATTGGTTCCTTTCACTCCTTAGGTTAAATCTCATCCATCTTTTAGGCACAAATTTCTGGTGAAAATGACCCTCTGTTTCTCTAAAGGTGACTTTTTTTGCATAATAATTGTTACTTTCTAGAGTTTTATATCACATACAAAATATTCCTTATAAATTAAATCTCACTTTTGCCTTTAGCTCCAAGGATATTAGATCATCTTCCATTTTTATATATACCATATATACTTTTTAAGCAAAATTGTACCTTCCAAAAGTCTTTGTAGGAACTGATTTCCAAATTTCATTTTTGCTGCCCTAGGGGATTCAAGGACCTGGAGTTGGACACACCGTCCATTGAGAAACGATTTGCCTATAGCTTCCTTCAGCAACTCATTCGCTATGTGGATGAAGCCCATCAGTATATCCTGGAGTTTGGTAGGTACCATCGTCCTATTACTAACAGTCCAGTGTTTGTAATTCTTCATGTTGACAACATCAGGGTCTAGAACAGCACAGACTGCCAGGCTGTTTTTGGTCTGTTCCCTGGCAGTATAAACACCGTCTACCCATCCTATTACTAAATAGAATCTAACAGTCAGTAGGCAAACACATTCTTAGGGATGGGTAAATTTAGAAACCTTAAAAAAAAAAATCAAACATACCATTCTTTTCTCCTTATAATGTTTATTGTCATTGATTTTTTTATTTTTGAAAGACACATATGGACATCAGAATTTAAGATACAGTTAAATCTTTCCTTATGAAATTAATGGCCCTGCTCTTGATAAAAACTGAACTGTGGATCCCCAAACTTTCTAGGCAATGTGAAGGCCTTGAGTTTAGCCTTTGTAGGGATACACATTTATGCTAGAGTATCTGCGATGAGGACACTTTGTTATCCTGTTAAAGTAAAACGGAAGACCTCCTCCCCATGTGACCCCATGCTACGGAAGTATGAAGAGAATTCCTTGTTTTATTTTTTTATCTTTTTAAAGATTTTATTTATTTATTTGAGAGAGAGAGAGGGAACATGAGCAGGAGGAGGGGCAGAGGGAGAGGGAGAAGCAGACTCCCAGCTGAGCAGGGAGCCCGATGTGGGACTCAATCCCAGGACTCTGGGATCATGACCTGAGTCAAAGGCAGATGCTTAACTGACTGAGCCACCCAGGCGCCTCAAGAATTCCTTGTTTTAAATCTTAGATTCAGAACAGATTTTCAAGACAGCCTCTTCTCATATCTTATTTCATGATTGTCCTCAGCACTATTGACTTAAAATGTGAGTTCTTAAGTACTGAGCTTCATGTCAGATCACTTTCCAGCCCCTGGTTGGTATTAAGATAGAAGGATTAAGGATTAAGATGGCCCCTTTGGAAAAACAAGTGTGTTCTGGTAATTATCTTTTTATTTTCTTTTTCATGCTTTTTTTTTTCTGTTTTAATTTTTGTTTTTTAATCCTCGTTCTCAGGGCCCATAGTCCTAGATCCCTTAGCAATAAATATATCCTCCACAAACCCATCCTGACCAAGGGCTCTTTTTGCTACTGTTTTCTTAGGATTTAGTACTTAGTTTTTGGCATGTCAGATTAAAGTTCATAGAAATTCGAGCTTTGGTATTTTCTTGTTCCTGGTCTCCTGTATCCTAAATGTGATGAAAGATTTTCCAGTTCAGTATTGTTCTCTTAAAGAGCCTCCTTCTCTCTCAACCTGCTCTTTATCTGTAGCCAAGTGCTGTCCTTTGGCTTTCTTCTTAACTATCTTTTTCACAAAAGCCAACTGTGCAAACTAATTTATAATACGTAATCTTTCTGTAGCTCATACAATGATTTTTTTAAAAAAATATGATTTATGAGTTACCCTGAAAAGTAGCAAATTAGTCTCAATTAATGAAATTTGATTAAAAAAAATGAGGCCATGGTGAATTTTTGAAGCCTTTGTGCATATAGCTAAATATTGAAATTTCTCAAGCATATTTAAAAGTATCTGATATGAGTAGCAACTCAAATTTGGTCTTCTTTATGTCAAGAGAGAAGGAAAGCAAAATCAGAGTATTGAGAAAAACACTTTTTTTTTTTAACCCTGCATGGATAACAGAAACAGAAATTTGACGGACGAATGTGTTTGGGTTTTATCCACATTGTATTCAAGTTTCTGAATAAACCAGTGTTTGTGCAGAGGGAGTGGTGAGAACCTGGCTGCGAATTCACCTGCTTAGCGTATTTCTTTCTTTCCACAGGGTAGAGGGTCTTCTAAACCCAATGCTGGGGAGAAAGTGAGGCTAGGTCAGTGTAGAGCCCAAGAAATTAAGTTTTTTTTCACGTGTTCCTTTTTCAGATGGCTGTGACCAAGAACTCTGTTAGAGGAGCAGAGTTGGGATTGTTTACATTTATTTTGATTTTCATTTTTGTCCCTGCAAGGGAAACTTCTATCATGCCTTCTTTTATCTTTAAATTTTCTGCCTTTGCAACACATCTGAGGCTAATGGCCATTGTAAGAATACGCATATGCCTTTTTCTGATTTTTGTATTAACATCTAGATCATATTCTCTCCATCAGGATTTTGCACATAAGCATTTTCGTTAAAATGTATAATGGTGTAAAAAGGAAAGATATTTCCTATTTAATTCCTTGAAATGTTAGCATATTTAGCTATGTACAAAACTCTGTCTTGACATAGTTTATATGAGAAAGTCCCTTAAATGGATTCAGCCATTTTACGTAATATTCTTGAGAGAGATTGGATATAAAAGCAATACAAAAAATGAAATCTGTGAGTATAAAAAAGGCATAATTTTCTTTTACTTATTCATGGGAAGAGCATTGTTTGGTATTTGATATTACAAAATATTACCTAAATTTCCTAAAAATTCTCCCAAACTCATGTCTCAGATTTAATGAAATATATCTCAAATTGCTTTTATTTCTATTTACAAAAGAACTTGTTCAAGCACAAGTCAGTTTGATTCTTAACAAAATAGGGAAGCTCTGCTTATAAATTTTACCAAAACTTTATATCCAATTCTGAATTTTTTTGCTCTCTAGTGTGTTCTGCATATCATCTTGGTTATTATAGTTGCTGTTACCTCTTCTATATGCGGGAAGCCGCTTCTGTATGCATGAAGGAGATGCAGAAGGCCACTTCCAAGCTAAATGCATGAGGTCAATCAGTTCTTAACCTCAAAATCATTTTCTAAACCCTGGGGAAAACTTGGGTGTCTTTGCTTTGCTTATGGAAATTATCTTGTGACATAAGTGAACTTCCTTATTCCTGAGCAGCATGTTAATTTTCCAATCTAATATTATGCTGGTGATCCTCCTTCCCATCCAAGCTGGCTTCCTGCACCTTTTTAGTTGGTATGGTAATATTGTAACTCTCAGTCATAGCAAAAAGTAACTATCTTTATTAGAGGCCAGGGTTAAAATGTCACCAATTTTGTTTCCTTAGTTTATATTGGCTGTGCTCACTCCAGTGAGCTTCTTTCTTACTGAAAGAACATGTGGGATTTTTACTTTATTCTATTCCATTTGTCCCCTACATGTCAAGAAGATCATAAAGCTACACCATGTGTGTGTGCTCTTAACCCCATGTATGGGCTATCCTCAATAAATTTTTGATTTTGATTTGGGTATTTTTTTAAATCCTTTTTAAAAATTATTATCCTGCTGAATGAAGTTAGCCTTGATATTTTGGATGCCTTTCTGTGTTCAGTTTACTGGGATAACAGATAGAGCAGTGTGTTCTAATTGTTGCATTTTGGGTGAATATCTTGTAATGTTTGAAGTCAGATATGTTCCTAAACAACTCTTCCTATCTACAGATGGTGGCAGCAGAAGCAAAGGAGAACATTTCCCTTACGAACAGGAAATCAAGTTCTTCGCTAAAGTACAGTATACAGTCCCATTTTGTTTTTGCTTCAGTATGTTTGTTTACCAAATGTACTCTATAGGTCTTTGCCTCTTTCCAGGGTGTACTGGTCTACAAATGTGAATTCTGCAAGTAAATATTCTCTGGCACAGAAATAACTGCTTGAATCATGTGGGATAAATTTGTTGCCGGGATACTTGGTCATACTTTAACTCACTGTTCTTCCTGCCATAATCCTCAAATCACTTCCATCTATATGGAGCCTAATTCAAAGCTCCCCTTTTTGGGGCTTTTATCAAATGACATAGAAGAAAAATATCTACTTCTTAATATGCGACGGTGGTTATGATTTTAAAAATTATGAGCATTTCTTTTATAAAGAGGAAAAGCATTTTTCATTTAAAATTATAAAATTTAAAAGTTTTACATTATAAGAAGCTTTACTGTATAATCTTTATTGTGGGACCTCTGTCCTCCTCATTTTACAGATGAGGAAGCTGAGGATCAGAGAGGATAAACTGTTTATATATCAACTATATCCATTTCTATTATTCATTCCATTTAATAAGAATTTATCAATAATCTGCTTTTTGCCTGGCACATTCATGGCTTTCTTTCAGCTAATAAGGGGAGGAGACAGAGTGTTGCAGATTCTCCACATTGGGTTCATTCACTTACACAGCATATACTATGTGCCTAGTCTCTGTCAGCTGTTAGACTACATCCCAGGGATTACTCTCATGGACACAGAATGCCCTTGGGAAGTTTTCCTGTTTATGGTATGCTGCAGTTAACTGGAAGACTTAATGTTTTCTGTCAATTTACTTTCAAAGTACTTGCATTTGGTGGTTACTGTAGATCATTTGCAAAATGGCACGTTATTTCAATTGATGAATATTTGGCTTCTGTTACATGTTTTCAGCACTGTGCCCTTTCTGTAAGGGAGATTTCCCTTGTCTTTTCTTATCACTCAATATAGTGCTCAAAATCTGTATCAACCATCTCAAGTTTGTCTTGAGCTACATATTGCTGGTTATTCTATTCTACTGGATTGTAATCCCCCTAATAGCCAATTATTACAAATGCTGTATTCATGGCCTCTAATCATACATTTAAAATACATTCTTGTTTCGCCCTGACTATGTACTCAGCACCCCTAGTGATTTTGTTTGCAGATGCTTCATGTGGTTTAATTTCTTCTATGATTCATTCATTCACATATTTATTGAGTAGCTATTATGTGCCAGTCACTAAGTTCAAGCAATGTCACAACGTTCTAGGAAGATTACAAAACATGTATATTTTGCTATTATATAAATATGCTACACCACGTTGTAGGAAAAAAATGTAGTTAGACTTGAGTCTAAATACCAGTAATGCCAGTTGTTATTACTTTTTTCATTTATTTTTTAACCAATATTGATCTACTAGGTCCCACAAAGTCCTACGTGCTGGTGATCCAGTAGTAAACAAAACAGAGCAAAGAGTGGTCATAGAGGCTAGGAGAGGGCAATAATGGGAACAACCCAGAAATGTCTATTGTATATACCTTAAAGACTCTTATGGAGAGAGACTAATTCAAAATCAAAGTTTTTTGTTTTGTTTTTGTTTTTTGCAAATGATGCTATAAGAACAGAGAATATGGAGGTTTTATCTAGTTGAGGAGGTCAGTGAAGGATTATCTGAGGGAGTGTCACTGGGCTGAGGTCTGCAGGAGTGGAGTGAATGGATTATGGGGTGTGGGAAGAGCATTTCAGGCATAGGGAATGGCATATGCAAAGCCTTGTGGTGTGAGCATACAGGGTGAAGAGGGGGAATTTGCCAAAGACCAGCAGCATTAGAATCCAGGAATGGCGAGTGGGCCTGGAGAGAGGCCAGGTAAGAACACCGTGGAGGTAGGTAAGTGGGCAGCGTGACTTTGAGTAAGTTACTTTCTGCACCTCAGTTGAATACCTATAAAACAGGGGTGATGACACTTGCCGTACAGAGAAGTTGCTAGGGAAAATGAAATGACAGTATGTCAGTTGCAATCCTCACACTTAGTAGAGACTCCATAAATGGTAGTTGTTGATTATTTTTGAACCGATCGGGCACTGAGCTACATTAGATGAAAATACTAAGAATATTTCATTTTGAAAAGATATTGAAAGTAATTCCAAACTGTTGAAAATTTGGTGTGTTCCCCATAATCACGTTCTGTCTCACGTATGCACACGTGCATATGCACGCACGCACGGGGACCGGAGATAGGGTGAGATTTAAGAGAGGTGTGCTCTAAAATCCTGCCGACTAGCATGGCTATGGATATTGGGGGACCTGCTGGGTGTGGATAGAACTCTGGCTGCTCCAGGGCCTCAGCCCACTGTGTAGATCTGTTCTCTTTTCCTTTCTTTCAGGTTGTTCTCCCTTTAATTGATCAGTATTTCAAAAACCATCGTTTATACTTCTTATCTGCAGCAAGCAGACCTCTCTGTTCTGGAGGACATGCATCAAATAAGGAGAAGGAAATGGTGACTAGGTAAACAGCTACATAAAATAAAGACTGTTGTGGAGTGAAGTGTATTTGCATTGGAGAAAGAGCTGCTGGGGACCTTGAAATGGGAGCATGCAGAGTGGCCTTCCCCCTCCCCCCCAGCTTCCCGACCCCTGGCCCTTTGGAATCAAATACTGTGAGGAGGATGCTCTCTGCAAGTTAATACATGTGTTTTAAATGTTGAGTTTTCTTCTATTTTGCTGCTAAATAAAATGCTGAATAGAAGGAATAAGGCAACCAGTACAGAATCCACAAGTAGAGGCATCACTGGATTAGTATTTGTGATAAATGGTGCTTTTCACATTACTTCCTTTAAAATTTATCCGGATCTATTATTTTTGCCAAAATTTGAAAAATCAGGCATTTTTCTGGAGTGTAAAATCCCATTTACAGAAATTATCTTTTCCGATGTTTGTTTGAAAATAATGACCAATCGTGGAAGAAAATGACCTAAAAATATGTACTTTCTGAAGATTTCCCCTCACACTACTCAAGCTGGCATCTCAGCCACGCTTTCTCATTTCTGTTTGAACCTAAGTATTCCTCGTAGATTGATTTGTCATTCTGCTGGCTATTTCAAGTCTGATTTTTCAGAATTCTGCCAAAATTTAGTACTCGTGAGATTCGATTACTCAGCAAATCTATTTCTGTATTACCAAATCGCACTGGAATTGACACCAAGCTTTTAGGTTGTGTTTGGAAAAAAAAATTTATATAAAAGTGAGTAACCTACACAAAGCAGAATACAAGATTTCCTTGGACTTGACTTTAATGATCTGTGATGTCATGTGATGTAAGATTGCCACAGGGTTAAAAATGGCCCCAAACTTCTTTAAATAATGATCTTCCTGTGAAGTTGGTAAAACCGATTATAGTTAAGGAAACAGAGAATCCATCCAATGGCATACTTTGTTTCCACCAACTTTGTTACCCAAAAAAGAGGAGTGAGGGGCTACTTTCCAAGATGTGAATCCCCTTCCCCTTCTCCCTTTGGCGTGGTCTTCTTTCCTCTTTCCCCAGGAGAGAGAGGCCCATCCCTCTGCATTTCACAGGCTCACCATCCCCAGGGGACTGGGAGTGTCTCAGCAGCTAGAAAATGCCAGGGCATCAAGTTACATTTAAACACCCTGCAGCCCTAACTGCAAAGTCTCCTCACACTCCCCCCCACCCCTGCCTTTTATAACAGCAGCTTTGTTCCCAGAGTTGTTGTTGATGTAGCTGTCACTCAATTACGTAAACTAAGAGACAATGCAGTCAGAGAATGTAGGAAAAAATACAAGTATGCAAACTCTGTTCTTTCCCCTCGCCTGTATCATGTTTTATCTTTATTACGTTTCATTCTTAGAACTGTTCCCTGACCTCAGAAGTAACTAATTTTCCTTTGCCGACTCTCCCTCATAGAATAAATCAGAAGAGCATTGCTATTCTGTGCCAGCCTCAGTTAATGTGGTTTGGGGGCCTGAGGTACCCCCTTTTTATTAACATTGCACCAGAATGTTTTCCATAATGTCATCTTCAATTTTTCTTCACCTCCTGGAAAGAGGGTTGGCAAATTTTACTTTTCCCTTTACCATTTCCAAAAGAGAAATCCACCTAAAATAACAACGTACAGGACTGAGACACACACTAATAGGAGTAGCTTAATTTCATCACAGCACCTGTGCACCAAACATAGATAGGATTTAACCTCAGAAAAATTTGGGAATGAAAAAATGAATTAAGGTAATAATAAATTATGGCACATGCAAAATGCTGTCCAGTCACTAAAATTATGCATGCAAATATGTAATAAACTAGGACAATGATTATTTAAAAAGTAAAATATATATTTAAAGAGTATGCATCCAGATTTTTTAGAAACCTATATTTGTATATGTAGAAAAATACTAGTAGGGAAGAAACTTGATTTTAATAATTGTTTTCATTGGGGGTAGTATAGTAGATATTTTTTCTTACTACTTTTGTATATTTTTAAAGTTTTTAAAGTGAAAAAACTTTTGTAATCATAGAGATGTGTTTTAAAACAACCCAAATCACCATCAAACTAACAAAAACCGACTAAAATTTTTGTTTGATATGTTAAAATGGTATCACTGAGATTTATAAATGTGTGATTTCTTACCACTTCAGTTAAATATTACTTCAGTGAATAAAATAGGTAAAAAAAAAAAAAAAGGATAAAACACAATAAAAAGTACTGGCCCTGCTACTATGGATAAGCAGTCATGCCTTCATACACAGGTTGAACACTGAAGTGATCATTTTAATTTGTATTTAACAGTTGTGTGTAGCAATAGTTCTGTGGGTCTCAGTTAACTTGCACATTTAAGAACAGGTTGTTTCCATTGGATGTTTAGATACTTCTGGCACTAGACATCACGTATTGAGCATTTACTACATGATCATGTGTGTGGAAAAGAGTGAGGTATGGCCTCTGTACTCTGGGAGTGTACCCGGCAATAGCTGGGTATGTGAATAGGAATATAATTCTAGCAGAAAGGCATGCAGTGCTGTGGGATTCCAAGTAAAGTGAGGCCACACTGGATGGGTATGGGCAGGCTAGAGATAAGGGAAAGCCATGATAATTCACAATTGATCTTAAAGAACATGTAGGTCATAGATTCAGAAGGGGGACTATTTTCTACATGTAGATAATAGCATAGAGAGTGTAGAACATAGTAATTTAGGGGCAATGTGGGTTATGTAGATTCCTTATGGAATACTGTAATTGACATTAACTGCCAGAATAAGGCATCTTCTTCCTTTTTTCTTTTTAATGTTTACACTTAGTCTTTTTTACTTAATTCATTAGCCCTAGGAAGCCACTGAGATATAGGGCAGTCTGGCAGCAAAAGCAGGATGGAGACGAGTCAGCTTGCTAGGAGGCCATGACAGCAGTCCAGGCTGTCGAGATAGAACTGCTTCCTCAAATAGGTGGTTCTACCCACTGATTCATTCAGTGCGTATTTCTGAATGCCTGCCATGTGCAAGGTGCTGTCCTGGGTTTGAGGATGAACAAGCACATAAAACAATGCGGTTCCTAACTCCAGTGCACTTCAAAGTGCAGCTGAGTACCTGCTTACATGTAGAGCTAACCACTTAATAAGTTGTGATGAGTAATGAAAATGTACATAAAGGTCTGGGAATATAGAGAAGATACACATGCGGAGTGGGGCTGGATATGGGAAGCATGGGTGAGAGAAAATCACAGGACAGGGCAATGAGTCCTATGGAAGGTAGGAAGAAGGAGGTCAACATGGCGCTGGAGTTTTGATGCTGAGTGGTTGGAACAATATTGGTGGTGACAGCAAAAAGTAATGACAGAAGAACTGGTTTTGAGAAGAAGATGTTAAATTTGGTTAGGGAATCACTGAAGTATATAAGTAAGTAGTAGCAGGTCATTCGGCTGGAGATGTCCAGCCAAAGGTTGGAAATGAGTGTTTGGTATTGGTGGAGAGACCAAACAAGAAATGACATATTCAGAGATTGTACCCCTGTGATGCTCCAAGTTCTGAAATCAGATGAAGGGGGAGTGGAGAGAGAAGCAAAAAGTTCTGAATACCAAAACCTGGCGAATTATTCCATCTGAAGGGTTTTCAGAAATGGGTTCTTGAAGAACACTGAGAATGACTAATTAGAGAAAAAGGGGAAATGCATTGCTGTAAAACAGAATTCCGACTTTCCCAGATTGAAATAGTCGATGATGCCACATACCGCAGAGAGCTCTTCAGGATGGAGGTTGAAAAGGTGTTATTAGATTTGCTGACTGGCAGGTATTGCTTTCAGTAGAGCAGTGAAGTGAAAAGCAAAATGACAAAGCAAGGCATCGAAGCTAAGGAAGTGTAGATGCATTATAAATTCTTAAGAATGTTAGTAATGATGGGATATACAGAAAGGGGATAACAACGTTATGGAAAATATTTTTGGAGAAAACTATAGGCTAAAGCTTACAGTAATGAAACCTTAGAGTCAGTATAGAAACTACACTCTGAAAGTGGATGGCACAGGAGAGGAAAAAAATATAATTTGTCCTTTGGGTGGACTTGGTTTTCTACATATCTTTATTTCTCTCTGGTAGCACACTGGCCACTGATTAGGAACAACTAAAGTTAAGAAGCAGTTGCTACAATAAGAAGTCATTTTTCTCAGACAAACTCTCAGACATTCAATATCCAACAGAATGGGATACAGAGCAGTTCTGTTTTCCATCACAGCAAAATGTCCTAGGTCTGGATGAATTGGGTTAAAACATGATCCTAGTGTCCTAAATTCAACATTATCTCCAAATGTTTCATGCTGATCCTAGAGAGTCTCAGTAAGCAGTAAAAGAGATCACTTAAAATAGGTTGGTATACATGTAGAGATCCAAAATGTGTACAATTCTAAGAAGTCATCACTCTCTTCAGATGGGGACAGACCTTTGTTGAGTTAGCATGCATAAGGCTCAGTGGATGAGGGCACCTGGAAAAAGTTGCTTTAGGTTTATTGTCTTTTTTTTCCTTACAGTATAGCACAAAGATGAATAATAATGCAGCTCAGGAGGCTGATGTCTCATTTTAAATCCTAATATCTGCTTGAACAGATCATTGTTTTCAAAACTTTTAGAACTGCTAGGGGATTTCTCAAGACCTCAAATTCACTTAGACATTTGTCAATGAATGTTCTCTTGGAAAAGCTGTACAATGCTCTATATAATTAATTTTCATTCTTACCTTATTGGCATAGTTACTGAAATGAAAAATGGTAGCCAAAACTTCGTGTAAAGAAGGTCAGTATCACCAGTGTGATTCCCTGTCTCCTTTCTCCCATCCTGCCATGAGCGTGTGACTCCATTTTTTTTTTTTTCCCATGGCATAGTGTATATCCTGACGAGTGTACATCTGCACACTGCTGTTCATGGGAGAGCTTTGCAAGGCAGAATGGGACAGTCAGAATATAGCTGTTTCCGTCATTGGAACAGTCAAGCTGGGTGTGGGTAGCACTGTATGAATGGATCGTCAAGGCTAGAGGTTTGGTAAGCTCGGGTTATGCAGATCCTGTGCTCTCCCCAGAGCTCAGGAGAGTGTGGGTAGATGTGACACGACTATCAGTTGGAATACGGAAGGAGAGGTATCGTGGTAGAGATTTGCAAAAGAGTTCCCCTTCCAGCTTGGACTGGCAGGGGAGAAGGAGCCCTGGATATTAGCAAAGGCTTGTTGGAGTGGACTTGCCCCATGCTGAATCCTGAGGGGTGGGTAGAAGGGAGTGTAGCAGGGAAGTGAGTGAAGGGTATTCCCCAAAATACTTTTAAGGAGCTTACTAGACCGTGGCCTGGTGGCCAGCCAGGTCAGTAGCAAGTCTTGCCCAGGGTTCTGGGGTCTGATGTATGAGTTAGTGCATATCAGCGCTATCATGCTGAATGCTGAATGCAGGCCACCCTTCCTTGCAGTCTCCCACTACTGATCCCCAGGGAGGACACAGAGACCTAGAGGAGATAAGAAACCAGCTCAACTCAAGCCTTAGCATTGAGATCCCTTGAAGTTAGCCCATCTGTAATGTTTATCAGTTGTTCAAATTCTGTCTCTCCTTCACTGTGTTCAGATTCACTGGATGCTTTGTAAGGGGTGTGATCATGGTTGGAAAAAAGGAAAGTTCAAATGATAAACATACTGAAACTTCAAGTAACCTTTTATGCCCAATGTGCCATACTTCTGGTTTTAAATAATGTCCATGACAACAATACAAATATTCTAGAATTCCAGTGGTTACATTTGGGCAGATAAAATTTAAGTGTGTTCCTTGTGGTATTTGAGTAGTTATATTCTTGTGGAGTTCATATAGATGGCTTTTATATTAATTAGCTTTGCTTTCAAGTTTTTTTTTTGGTTTCTTTACTTATAATATGTGCTTTTTTAACCATGTTTGTTAAAGATATGCACTCAGAGATTCTTTCTTTAATACCTTTACTCCACATTCTGCTCAGAGAATTGATTCTTTCTGCGTGACATCATGTTGCTTTTTCCTGCTCATATATCAGCTGTTTATTTTTCTTTTTTTCTTTTTTTTTAATTTTATTTTAATTTCTCCCTGTCTTTTCTACCTTCCCTCCCCCTTTTCCCCCCTTTCTCTTTTGTTTTTCTTTTGTCTTCAGCCTATTCTGCAAACTTGGAGTTCTTGTCAGGCATAGGATTTCACTATTTGGTAAGGAGACCCTTGAAACGAATACGAGCATGGCCATCACTTGGTTTTCTTTGCCAGTTTTGCACTGTGTTGTGTGCTGCTATGTTGCATGAATGCATGTTTGCATGGCTGCATGCATGGTCGTCATAGGCCAAGATAAGGTCCTCGAGGTTGTTTGTAAGTAGCATTATCTGTGGTGAAATTGAAGACTGTAACTTTTTCATGCTGGTCCAAAGCACATTTGGGAAAATCAAAAGGTTTTATTATGAAAGAGAAAAATGAATGCAAGTGGCAGCTTCTGCCATGTTTTATTTCAGAGGGGTGAAGCAGAACCGGGCCCTCGAATTTGTCTATTTCCAATAGATTGCAGAATGAGCTGTCATAAATCAAAACATTTTAACTGCACTTATTTTAATTTTTTTTTTTTTTTTGTAATGCTCTTGACTACAGATCTGCATGTTGACTGCATTCCAGACACTGGAGCTTCATAGTAGAGACAGTGAGGCAAGGACTTTACTTGGCAAAAGGGACTTTTTGAGTCCATTTTTGTTTGTGTCTGGGTATTCACGTAACTAAAGTCCGCCCATCCGAGCACCTGCTTGTGGACACTTTCCACAGGTCCTCCTTGCTGTGGAGCTGTAGGACCCAAGAGAAACTGGCAGAATTTGTGTTTTAATTTCCTGTCTCTGCTTTTATAAACCACAAAAGCAAACTTCAGCCCTGTGCGCTCTAGGTGATGAGACAGTGTTGGGGTAATATCGGTCATAAAATATTGAGTGTACTGATACAGATGTTGCGAGTTCAATTCCATTTACAGGAAAAGCTAAGGATTATGTCATTTCTTTAAAAGCCACAATGAATGATCGGAGGAATAGGTATGTGTGTGTATATATCTTCTCTCTCTCTCTCACACACACACACATACACACACACATTACTTTTAAGTCCTTTAAAACAGTCTATTTTTTGAGAAATGATAGTTTCTGGATATAATTCCTTAAACCTCTGTTTGGTTTCTAATTTTATTAGATCCAATATTTGGTGCTCTTAAATTTAGTAATTGAAGGTTCTATTTCATTTAAATTGCCTGAGTTTTTGCATTAATGTTTCAGTTATCCCAAATCAATGTGCAGATGATCTTCAAGATAATTTCTAGTTTACTGACCTTTGTTTGACTTCTCTTCAACACAGAAAAATTTCTGTGAACATTGTGGAGACAGAATTATACACTCTTCAACTTTCTCGTAATAACAGTAGATTCAAGTGTCCTCCGTTTGTCTTATTATATATCATTCTTTTTTTTTATTTTTTTTAATTTTTTTAAAAGATTTTATTTATTTATTTGAGAGAGAGGATGAGAGGAAGAGAGCATGAGAGGGGGGAGGGTCAGAGGGAGAAGCAGGCTCCCCGCTGAGCAGGGAGCCCGATGCGGGACTCGATCCCGGGACTCCAGGATCATGACCTGAGCCGAAGGCAGTCGCTTAACCAACTGAGCCACCCAGGCACCCTTATTATATATCATTCTGACGGGGACCCCTTTTCTCAAGTGCAGTGTTTGCATTCTTACTAATGAGCATAATAATACTTTCTTGTGTGCTATTTCTAACTTCTTGCATATTGTAAATTCTTGGTTTTCTATGTTATATTTCACTATAATTTTCTTTAAAATTTTTTTTGAGGTATTCCACATATAGAACAAAATACACAAATCTTGAAGATAGCTTAATGATATAGTTTGTTGAAATTTTACGTATATATATGGATCAAGACATAGAATATTTCCAGCATCCCAGAAGCCTCCCTTGTGCCATTTCCCAATTTATTATCTTCTGCAAAGAAATTATATGTAGACCTCCATTACCGTGGGTTAATTTTGCCTATTCTTTAATCTCCTGTTTTTTTTTAAGGGTCCAGTAATTGAAGATAAATGCACAATAAAACTTGTCATACCTCCACTTTAACATCCATTCCATCCCTATGTGATGCTGATATCCCATTTAGGCACTGTATCTTAAACCCCTTAGCCTTTAAATACTATTACTTTTATTTTTAACAGGAATTTCCTGGAGAGCTACTATGTGTCTTTGCCTCAAAAGTGTATTTGTGTGTCTTCTTTATATTATTCTAGCCTCTCTTGTTTTCATTGTTTCAAATTTGCTTTGGCATTTGCCTGTAAAGTAATACAAACTTCAAGAGGCCTTCATTAATCAAACATTTTCTAATACAGACTGGTCAAGTTATTGGAATTTTAAGTCTTATCCATGTCATCTCTACACTTGACAGTTATAACCTGACTTTAGACACTAATAGGATGTCCCGGGAAAATAGTGGGCTTCGAATCGGAAAACCAAGATTTAAACCTAGATTTAAGTGCTGTATTTGCAACTAGACCAGCTGAATGATTTAGATAAGGGACTTGACTTCTTTGAACTCTTGTTTTTGTTTCTTTTTTTTCATTTTTAAAGTAGGTTAGAATGTCTCCTGATCTTAGAGATCAGTTACACATAGCTGATCTAATGTAGGGTAATGAATGCTCAAGTGCTGTGGAAACTTTAACTGTCCAGCTTTCAGATCTAAGGGATTCCTAGTCTTATTTGCACAGTTTTTATTTAGATAAATCAAACTACAAATGAACCAGACTAGGGGACTTGGCTATTTAAAGTACCTGTACAATGAAGGCTCTATAATCTTCCCGTTTCCAGAGTTCAGTGGAAGTGGTATGCCAGGTATTTATTTTTGATGTGTCAGTTCTGCCATTGTGGATTTCCCTAAAGAGAGAGACCTAATGATATATATGATATATATATACAGTGGCCCTTTATAATCCTATTAATCTCTTATTTTTTTTCTTTCTCCCTTCTTTTACATGATACCATTTTCCATATTCTGATGGAATAAATGAATAAACTGATGATCAAAATGTTTTTCCTGTACTGACTTAGTTCAAAAAACTTTTTATGACTTAAGCTAAGGGTAAATTAAGATAGTTTGAAATGGAGGTTAGCAAAGAAATACTTGGGCTTTGTGTCTTATGAACAATGAGCAAAGATAAAGATGTAGAAAGATACACATTAGCCTTCAACATATCAGGAAGGTGAGATTGGAGACACAAGGGGGAACATTAATGTAAACCAACAGACAAAATACTTGTGGTGAGGTCAGGGTTTGATGAGTAATGGACTGTTTATTCCAAGCTGGCTACCAGGTTGTCATTGTACCTCCAGACCTTATCTGTAGTTGAAACTTACCTGATATATTGAAGATTCCCCCAGTTTTGACTTCTCTTTGTGTATGTCTTTTACCTACTTTAAGATACATTCTATACATTGAGGCACACTAAGAATTAAAGAGATCAGTCATGTTTTTATGCTTCATATGTTCTTTTTGAGGTGTTTAAACCATTTCATTTTATATTTGAAAAAGGTAAGTTTTTTAAAAAGGGAAACAAGCCCTTTTCCCCAGAGAACAGTAGTTCTGGTGTATCCACTAAAGTGCTTTATGGAAAAAAATAATAAATTAGTGTCTTCATAATATATATATAGGCTTTCTGTTTGAATTCTGGAATGCTTGTCAGTGATTGTAAGTTGGTGCACTCTAGTATTTTAGAAAATTGGTTAGGGCGTGGATAAGACCCAGGCAAGCTGAGAAGCAGTAAGGATCCCATTGGCCATTTTCAAGGACCCATTATTGATTAATGGAATATCGCTTTTAATCCCATCATTTTATCCCACTTCTGCTAAGTGGAAATTCTGATTACTAATGTCAAGGCAGTTAGAAAATACATAAGCCCTCCTATTACAGCCCATTTAAGCCTTTCAGTCAGTTTTAGAGGAAGCAGAATCCGTAACTAAGCCTCCAACAGGGACAGAGATGGTGCCACAGGTGTATGCAAATCAGGGCTTCTTCTTTTTTTTTTTTTTTTTTAAAGATTTTATTTATTTATTTAATTGACAGGGAGAGAGAGAGAGACAGCATGAGAGGGAACACAAGCAGGGGGAGTGGGAGAGGAGGAAGCAGGCTTCCGGCTGAGCAGAGAGCCCGATGTGGGGCTCGATCCCAGGACCCTGGGATCATGGCCTGAGCTGAAGGCAGTCGCTTAACCAACTGAGCCACCCAGGCGCCCCGCAAATCAGGGCTTCTTAAGGGCTCTATTTTTATATGTGCAAATAAATCTAATGCCTTAATGACATTCATTTGACGCATTCATTCAATAAACACTGTGTTCAGCTGTGTGGGAGGCACGCTTTCAGGCTGTCGGGATAGGAAAATGAAGATTTCTACACTTGTGCACTGTATCCAGGCCAATCCAGGCATCTGTCACCTGTCCTCCTCCACGAGCAAAGTGACCATTCTGTCTGAATCCCCTCTTGCTCTTCCAAACCGTGCTCCACAACAGTTCAGTCTTCCCAAACCCAGTCTCTCCTGTCACACTCCTGCGTATTCAGTGGCTTCCCTTTGCTTGAAAATAAAAATTCTGAATCTGGCCACAACAGTATTTCACAGAGTGTCCCCAGTGTACCACTCCATCCTCATTTCCTGGCACTTTCTCGCTCTCGACAGTTCCACCTAAGCGGCCCTCTTTCTGCTTCTTCAAAGTGGTGTATTCCTTTCTGCGCAGGGTCTTTGCACATGCTATAATTCCTGACTGGAATGGGGTCTCCAGACGGAGCAGTCACCTCTCTGGTCCTCTGCACCCATAATGGAGTAAGCCACTCATCCTTCAGACTTCAACCTAAATATTACTTACTCTGTCAGGAAAACCTTCCCCAATCTCCCTGATTTTACTCCCTCCCCCTCCTATTACAACATTCTCACAGCTCCCAGTACCTTTCCTTCATCTCAGTGATGATGTCACCAGATTCACATCTCTCACTCGCACAAACCTCTCTGCTCACTGAGGGCTTATTGTTGTATCTGAGGTCTGGCACATAGTACGTATTTATCAATATCTAATGATTGAATGAGTGAACGAACTAGGTTGTGCCTTCAGGAAGCCTACAGTCTGATAGAGAAGAGTAGAC